TTTATATAAAACATAAAGCAGTATTATTAAGTTGATATAAAAAAATATATCCCTAGATGTTAATATGTGATTATTTGTAAATGATGATGCATTGCATTGTTTCCATTTAATGACGATCTTCATTTTATTTATCGTGTTCTTCGCGTAATAATTAAGTTATTCGATTATGCCTTAGAAAAGCGGTCATTGATTTTGAATGTTTTATAAGAATAAGTTACATGCCAAAAAATACAGAATGTTTATTTATCTTCAATGTGATCAGTAAATGTATTTGCTACTACATGAGAAAAGATTGAAGATATTATTCTTCATTTGAACCGTAATTAACCATTTATGAAGCCGACCGTGCGTGTGTGTTCAAGTCGATTTATTTTCAAGAACACTTAGTAAGCGAGTAGTCATGTTTTGGTATATATATTCGTTTCATGCAAATTTATCCTACGCTGAATCAATGTAAAATTTTATTTGTAGCTCATAACTTTCAATCTTTAGCAAATTGAAATTGTATATATACCCAAACTTTTATTTTTCAATGTTAACAATGAAGAACGAACACGTATGATTATGAAATCTGTGACCCAATAAAATATTTGGTTTTATATTCTCATACTGGGCTGCGTAATATTCGACAGAAACCTCATAAATAATATCTATGTATATTGTATATATTCCCGATCGTCAATAATCATCATTACAAGAATTTACACGTTCAAGTATTTTTTAAATTTCAGATTTATTTTTATAAAAAGAAATAGATATTGTGGATTTTTCAATTTTCAAATTCCTGTGTAAGCGGATTTTAATAAAAAAAGGTAAATGCTCCAATTTTGTTGACTTAAATTAACAATATTTTATTTTAGATAAAGTGTGTACTAAAATTTCCGTTATTATTGATTACCTCATCAATTATAAGATTAATCGATTCTCTCATAATTTGCAACTACTTCAAATTAAAATACTCATGTATGCATTACTATAGTAATTCAAGTGTCAACTAATGGCTCATAATATGGCTTTTTTTATACTCAACTTCACATAACATTTTTGTATGAGAGGCACAGATTTTGGCCCGATCTTGCATTATTGTTTTGCTGTTAAGATTCAATTACCTCATTTGATTCATACAATATAAGAGACTATTAATATAATTGATACGTTTGAATTCATATCAATTATTACTCACTTCATTATACCCACGTTTAGTATGAAAAGATGTATGTTCGTTCTTTGTAGACAGACGCTTTCATTCATTGTAGTTGTACATGATATTCTATTCAACTTGAACGTATGCTAAAAATTCGGCATTTTATGGAGTACTTACATTCACATAGTGTAAATGTATATTGTATATGTGAATGTTGATTAGGGTGGTGCGATTGGTAATTTCGATAGGAACTTTCTCCGAACTAATCTCATATCATTTTTTACTGAAAAATAAGCAACTTTGCTCCTGACACTTTTTCCGATTTTGAATTTCGGACCCAGCGCGATAAAAAATTAAAAGTCAATTTTATAGGGTCTATATGCCTTCGGATCGATTTTTTATGGCGCTAAATCGATTCCTCATGAAAAATTAGGTGAAAATGGTTCTTTTTCAGGCAATTTTTCAAAGGGTAAACATAATTTTTATTGAAGAACTTGAGAGGTATCGATTTTTTTTCCTCAAAAGATTGAAACAGTCACTTACAAATTTCTCATAATTTCTCATATGAGGTAATCATTTTCATCCAAATATGCTATTTTCAGCAATTTTCAGCGAAGGGTAACAAATGTTATTGCCTTAATTCATGGACGTTGAATGGACTTCATTAAAAGATTCGATTTTTTCAGATTTTTGGGTCAAAAATTCAAAAAGTATGCGAAAAATTACTTAAACTCAACAGGAAGCTACATTTATGCATTTAAGATCATAAAACTATTTATTTTAATAAATATTGTTCAAGAAAATGGCAAAACATTTCACATTTTCACTTCAATTCCTGGAAAATTGTACTTTTTTTTTCGAACAAATTCACAAAAATCGATTTTTCAAACTAATATTGCAAATCTTACTATTATTTATGGATCAAACTTCAAATTTAATATCGTAGGACCCAGAAGTATGTTTTTTTTATAAATGGGTTAGAAAGTTGCCATTTTTTTTTCAAAAAATGCAAACTTTTCATAATTTTTTCTATTGTGACCATGTTCATGGATCAGTTCGACTTGAATGCTTGTCGGACCCTTCAAATTGACTTTAATCAATATTTATAATGGTTTGGCATGACATACAGTCCATTAGAAGGCATTTGAAATGATTTAAAATTAATTTTGTACTCGGCAAATTCCGTCGATAAAATGCTTCAGAGTTGAAAAGTACCTTGAGTGCCTGGCCATTTTTCGACCCTCAAATGTTGTAAAATCACTGCGAAACCACTTTCATTCGATTCCTCGTTGAAAATTAGGTGGGAAATGTGGTATTTGCATTGTTGATCGGATGGTCTATCAATGAAATATGGTACAGTTTCCGACCCAATCCGGACCCTTCGCTGAAAATTGCTGAAAATAGCATATTTGGATGAAAATGATTACCTCATATGGGAAATTATGAGAAATCTGTAACGGCCAGAATATTTGTATGGTCCCGGGCTATAACTGGCCGCTCGCTTTCCCTAGTAATTTTGAGTTTTGGTATGGGTTCTAAGCGACTGTTTCAATTTTTCGAGGAAAAAAAATCGGTACCTCTTACGTTCTTCAATAAAAATTGTGTTTAGGCACGCCGTCCCCGGGAAACCATTAGGTAGTTTTTTATATTTCAAGTAAAAACTAGGAAAATTAGAAAAAAACTAGCAAAAACTAGAAAAATTAGCAAAAATTATTTGATCCGCCATTTTGATATTGTGCCATGATTTGGTGACTATTGAAAGAAACAAGTACTTTATGCACGATTTTGTGTTAAAAAAAGAATAATTAAACTAATTTTCACTATTATAAGTGTATAATTATTCAAAACACATAAAAATATGTCTGAACAACAAAACGTCAAAATACTTCATTGTGTCAGTACAATCATTTGATTGTCATTTGACAAAACAAAAAACTAGAAAACTAGCAATTTCATAAAGGAATATTAGCATTATTAGATCATTCAAGCAATAAACTAGTAAATCTAACTAGAAAAACTAGCATTGGTTTCTCCCCTAGGTTTACCCTTTGAAAAATTGCCTGAAAAAGAACCATTTTCACCAAATTTTTCATGAGGAATCGATTTAGCGCCATAAAAAATCGATCCGAAGGCATATAGACCCTCTTAAATTGACTTTTAATTTATTACCGCGCTGGTTCCGAAATTCAAAAAAGGAAAAATTGCCAGGAGCAAAGTTGCTTATTTTTCAGTAAAAAATGATATGAGATTAGTTCGGAGAAAGTTCCTATCGAAATTACCAATCGCACCACCCTAATGTTGATCTCAAAATAAAATTTATAGATTTAACTTACGGTAAACAAAGAGTTAAAACAATAACAACATATCAATTCGATGTTATGTATTATTTCAAAATACAACTGGCGGTATTTAGACAATCAAATAACGCAATTTATATGACATTTATTATTGTGCAAGAATTAATATAATTTGTAATTATTTTGGAACACAAATAGAGCAGATATATGAAATATGAAAAAATATAATTGGTATGATATTAGAAACCAAAGTGCTGTTATGTTATTTGCATCCCAAAGTTGATGTGATTGAAGAATGAATGATTCATTCTTTAGAAACCGACAATGAATTGTTGTAATCTCATGAGACAAGGAAGTGGCATTGTCGACAATGGCAAGTGCAATTTAAACAAAACTGGTTCAAAATCATTGGTTCAAAATCACTTTCCATATGCAGCTATAGGTAAAAATAAGAACATGTCGTGTCTGATACATTCACCTGTATATAAAATATCTGACATTCGGACGACAGTACATTGACTACTAATAATGAGAATTTATTACTGTACTCTGTACTTGATAAAGTCCTTCAAAATTGTCATTTTATTCCCCACTCAAAAATTGTATTTATTTAATTTTGCTTGAAATTTTTTTATAAACATTTATATCTTAACTGAATTCACAGAACGAATATTTTGATAAAATGCATTAAATAAATTTCGTTTTCAAATGAACAAGCTCTTCCACATCTTAGGATAAGAGAATAAGATATAACGTTACTGAGCATTTTTGGACGTAATTTTGATTCAAGAGCATTTTCATTTACTATACAGAAAGATAATTTTCCAGTTTCTGCATTAGAGAGAAACAAAAAAAAACCAAATATTCAAATATCTATAACATAATAAACATGGAAATGAGCAAGTTTAATGCATACTATAGTTTTATTCGAAATGGAAATACGACTTACCAAATAATATTTTTTTTTTAAATATTTATTAAAATTGATATTGTAACTTGTTTAAATAAAAAGGAATTTTGTTTCTTAATGACTAATATATATCATCCACTCACAATACAATAACAGTCCATATTAATAAGATTTGAGTAAAGACTTCTCTTTCTCAATTTAACACGTGATACACATCTGTTTCGACAGGATTTTTATGACTTCAATATTAAGAAGAACTGATATCATGTATCACAAGACTTAGGTTCCACATCTTTTATGTGGTGAGATACATACCTATCAGTCTATGGCTCAAGGTTTAGCTATGAATAATATGATAACTGAACATGAAATTGTACATATTTGATCTTATTTCTCAAATCTTTTCGCTTTAAATCTCGACTCAAAAAGTTTCCGCTTTATAACATGATCATATGTATAAAGCAAAACCTACATAGTATGGTAAAACTTTAGTACGCTACGATGCCCTGGCACTCGAATTGCTATGCTTCAGTTTATATTTGTTTTTGAAGCTGATGATGGCACGGACAACTGTTCATTGTTGCCATTGTAATCTTCTTGTTGTTACCTTTCACAGATGCTTTTGACTTTTCGCGGGAGTGATGTACGCGTTCATTTTTAGTATATATACACCAAAGATTCGTGCGATGAACTTAGTCTATAAAAGTCTATAATAGCTGAAAACATCACTTAAAACTTCTGTAATATTTAATTTATTCGTTATTGAAAGGGCGATCTTTTATATTAAAATTTGTTATTTAAAAGTTTTTTTTATTCTTATTTGTCCAAAGAATTATTTTCAAGAAGAAAACTGAATTTCGTTTCGGAAATCGATTATTTTTAAAAAGTTAAATCAGTTTGAATTTCTGAGGTTTTGTTCTTAAAATCTAAAAATGAGAAAAATATTGGTGAGTAATAAATTGTTACTTGAAGAATAGTCTATTATTATTATTATTATTATCATTATTGTTCTTGATTAAAAATAGTGAGCAGCTTTTTTCTATACCTGCTCTTGTGTTTTGTGCTATGATAGATTGATTCAATGCCAATACCTAATACCTTAATGTTCGTTTTGGTTTCAATAACAAACTAACATTCGATAAATGCAATTCATCATTTCATTTGAAAAAGACGACTGAACTTTCAGTTCGTAGTCACCAATTTCATTAAAAACAAGAATTTCGACACTTTGTGACTCAATATTATACTATGTGATCCATTTAAAAAATGTTTGTATACGTGTATAAAGTTTTTTTCTCTTGAATTTTTATTTCCTAAATATTTATTGAAAAAGAATCAAAAGTACAATATAATACATCAATTAATTTTAATACGCGACGTACTCATCAATCTTTTATTTTATTTGGGAGACGTAATAATTCAAACTTTTTAGATCAATGAAGGTCATGCGTTTGGAAGTTATAACAGCATCGACAAAGTAAAATCTAACAAGCGCGTAATTGCTGGCAAACTACTTCACAATAACAGAATCGAAGAAGTAAAGACATGTTTCGCCCATTTTTTGCAGTTCACTTTAGAGCTATACTTGTATACAATGGTGCGCACACAATGTGTTACCATATGCTCTTTTGTGAATGCCTTTGAGGCATCTTGCTGATATTTGTTCAATTTTACATTACTGTTATTTTAATGTCACTTTTATTTGTTATTGTTTGCGCTGTGCTTTACACAGAATGTTGCCTCATTGGTGCTTGATTTAGTTTAAATTCATTGTAAATGTTCATTATTGCAAAACAGTTTGCATAAATAGACAAAAACCTCTCGTTTATGCACTGAATCAAATTATGTACAAAATATACGTTGCTTTTTGGTTTCTCAATATTATTTAATACTTTAGTCTGGAAGAGAACTTATTTTTATTGTTAAGGAAATTAAATATGACTGAATCCATATGATAGAATGGACTCATATGATTTCTATAGTAATTTTATAATTCACACAGTATATTCGCTCTCTTAAGATAAACATGACATAAGTGTAAATGCAAGTCATATAAACAGAAATATTTTAAATTTGGTACTTTTACATTTGACTATGACTTTTTTACATTTTCAAATGAATGAATCGGATTTTTCGTATTCAATAAAATCTTCATATCATTATCATCATTAAGCATTTATATATTTTGCAGTGTTTGCTGACATTTGTTGTTTACGTAACTGCTGACATTGGTATAACGGGGCAAAATCAATATTTACCACCAAACAAAGGCTACAATTATGAGCGACCCAATATCCCATTTGGATCTGCTCCAGCTCCACAAACAGTTAAGTAATTATAGAATAAGTTGGGAAATCAGTTTTAGTGATAACAGATAATTTTTATCTATATTTTCGGAAAATAAAACAGAACATTTGTAAAGGATACTTTTTACAAACTTATAGAAGATATCTTGTTAGTTAGTGAAAGAGTGCGGTGCGAAGACACAAAATTTTATACTGAACACTTGAAGAGCCATCGCAAAACCGACAGAAAATCAAAATTCAAATTCTATATCCTATGTTTCTGATCAAATGGAATCTTTTATTGAAGTTCCATCAAATACACATTCTGATCATTTAAATAAAATCATATGTTTTTTAAAACACACCAAAGCTATGCAAAATAGATTCAACTTTGTATTATTACTTTGAATAAGAGATAATGTATCTAATTACAGTCTATAATTTACAGGTAATACCACCAAGACCATTACCATCTCCCGGATACCTTCCTCCTAGTGGTCCATCTATCTCTACAGATCATGTATGACCTTATTTATAGTACTATAACTAACTGTAGTTCTATGCGAAAATTAATTTCTTGTCTTAATTTATCTGCATAGCATCACCATGAACCAGGAATGCCTTTTGATTTTGCTTATTCAGTGAGTGATTATCAATCTGCAAACCAACAATCACATAAAGCAACAAGCGACGGCGATATTACACGCGGAGAATACAGAGTGAATTTGCCTGATGGTCGCATTCAAGTTGTAAGGTACACAGTAATTAAAACAAAATTTAGTCAGAAAAATAATAATAATTAAATTTCTTTCAATATTTGTTTGTAACTGACAGATACACAGCAGACTGGAAAAATGGGTAAAATGAAATCTTTTTTTTAATTTCTAATATATGTTGATTAATTTCCATTATTTCTTTCTTCTATGTTTCTAATCTAGGTACAATGCTATGGTAAATTTAATATTTTTATTTCAACGATCATTTGGTGGTAAGGTGTAATAAATTTTGATTGTTTAAATAGGTAACATACGAACCAAGTTCAAGTCCATCTCAAGGTCTATATGGTGCACCTAGCAACAATGCTCCAAATCAAGGATATATTTATTAGGAAAAAGAACAGGACAAACATATATGTTTCATATTAATAAAGAAATAAACTGATAACGCAACTAAAAATTATGTTTGATTTTAATTTTTTTTTGATCAGAAAAGGAAATCTATATACCATTGATTCAATTTCAAATTACAAATAAACGTCATTTATTAATTAGGAGATCTTTAAACACCAAATTTTTGAAATGCTATAAACCTTATTGAATTGGTATACTTACACTCAATGTGAGTGAAAAATACAAAAAGCCATTGTATGAAAACAATTTTAATAACTCCTAAAAGTATGCAATGCTGTAATCGGGAACGAACAGATAATTTGGTAGAACTATGTAATAAATCAATTAGTAACAACATAAACTTTCATAGTTTTGAAAAAAAAAATGTTTTACCGAATTACCGAATGTCTGAAAAAAAAACATTAATAAGCAGCAGCAGCATAGTACACTTGTACCCAATTGAGCTTCTATACAGGGTGTCTCATAATATGGTGGTGATGAAAAATAGAAAATTTCTATCTGAGCAGAATTTTGAATTTTTTTGTTGGGGCCGAAGCGGGGTCGTTTTTCCCAAAAATTGTTCAAATCGATCAAAAGAAAATCAAAATAAAGTTCGAATATCTATCATTTTATTGTTGCAATGTGTTCTGGGGGTCTCCCTCTACAAGATAGACCAATTTATAATAATAAGATCGGTCGGAATGAAAGGAGGAAGGGCGGAGGTTATGAACATTCATCTTTTCCTTCATTTTTTTTTTTTTCAAAATTGCGACATGGGAATCACATCTCTTTGGTGCTCTATACCGAGCCTCCGAGAGTTTCATATAAACTCGCCTTGCAATAGCCAAATGACACCTACTGATTCAATCACGATTGGTATTCGCTTACTATTCAATAGGCATCACATGGCAAGTTTATATGAAACTCTCGGAGACCGGTATAAAGCACTCAAACAATGAAAAAAGTCCAGATCGTGATTTAGATGATATGGAATGCGATTTTTTTATTCTGATTTCACCAGGTGATACAGAAAATTGAGTAGTATTTGAGAATCGAAGAAAAAAAATGGCAAATACGAAATATGTACGGACGTACGACAATGTCATTTCAGCGGTCTTCCGTGTTTTTCATACAAGCTTCCCATATAGATGGTATAAAAAATCGCGAAAAATGAAAAAAATAATTAATATTTTTTTTTCTTCGATTCTCAAATACTACTCAATTTTCTGTATCACCTGGTGAAATCAGAATGAAAAAAATCGCATTCCATATCATCTAAATCACGATCTGGGCTTTTTTCACTGTTTGAGTGCTCTATACCGAGTCTCCGAGAGTTTCATATAAACTTGCCATGGGATACCTATTGAACAGATTTTTTTTCAGTTCTCATACATATAGTACATAAAATTATGATTGAAATGTCCAAAAAAAAAACTTTTTCTCAAACTGTCCCCCGAAAAAATTTCTATGAATAGGACTCAAAAAAAAGTTTACAATCGAAGTGTCCCTCAAATTTATTGCAAATGAAAATGGCACTTAGGAAAATTTACATGAATCTTTTTTGTAGGGACATTTTAGTTTGAAACAAATATTCGGGACACTTTAATTTGAAATAATTCTGCGGAACACTCCAGTTTGAAGTTCAAACCAAAATTTTGAACCAAAATTAAGTTTCATTATTATTCTTAACCATTCATATGGTCGGGGTCGAGCCCTTTTTTCTTCCTTTAAACAACGTAATGATGCCAGTTACCTAGTTTTGGACCAAAACCGGTCGGGGAACAACAATACGTTCAGATAGTGAGATTTGGGCCACCCTAATGGATATGACATTTGGATGTGATAGAAATTTATCCGATTTCCTAGGGTCTTTCGATTTTCTAGGGATTTACACCAAAATAGTAAAGAGCAAAAAAAACGTTTGTTAGAGAATTTTTAGTTTTCGGGCCACTATTGAGGAGTGAAAATTTCGAAAAACCCATTCCAACCCGTATGTTGGGGGTAAAAAATTTCCATCTGAGCAGAATTTTGATTTTTTCTCCAGGGCGTGAACCCCATTTTGCAAAACTTTATTCGATAAAAAAATAATGACGAGAGAAATTTTTTAGGACCCTTGCCTCTGCCCTCCAAGTCTCCCTAGCACTTGAAGGGGGTCGGGGGTAAAAAAAAACCAGTATATGATTTTTACCTGAAACCCAAAAATTCGGATTTGCCATGCAAAAATACGTTGCCTGTTTTTGTGCGGGCAAAGGGGGTTGATTCTCACCCCAACTGGGTATTTCTCCAAATCGTTCAAAATAAAATTAAAAATAAGTTCGAATATTTATCCTTGTATGGTTGCAATGTGTTGTAAGGATCTCTCCCTACAAGATAGAACAATTTTAGGGTCGGCCAGATTGCAAGGAGGTGGTCGGTTGGATTGCAGGGGTTATTAATCTCTCTTTAATCTTTCTCTTCTTAATTTTTTTTCGAAATCGTGACACGAAAGCCAAATTTTTTCTGGCTTCTATCGTGTTATTCGAGTCCGCCTCTACAAGATACAAAAGTTTTCAAAACATTTCATTAAGATCCAAGCCGGCCCGGAGCCGATCTTTGGCCGTACAGTCGATTTTTTCACATTTCGCGTGATATTTCGAGATTGAACTCGAATTTTGTTTACTCAGTCGTGTTCCTCGAGGCGGTATCTAGAAGGAAGAATAGTTTTTGAATAAATTTATTTTGATTTGGGCCGGCCCGAAGTCTATTATGTGGCTGCCAAGTTGAATAATATTCCGAAATACTATACAAAAAGTGAAAAAATCAACTTGGTGTCTCAGTAATCACTGGACACAGCCCTATCAAGCTATGATAGCCAATGCTATGGTCGTTACTAAAAATTCAAATTTGTTGACTATTGAAATTCATTAGTTAGTTTTCATTCTGGCATGCACATTGTTTAGCTTTAATTTGAACGATGAAACCCAAAAAAATTTGATTTTTTTCTACTTTGAGCGAAAAAAACAGTATGTCTGCACTTATCGACGACTGACGCTATACTGACTCAATATTTTCGGTGTTTGACAGTAGCCATGGATTAATTTATTTAAGGTGCATTTACAGAGAGATCACACGGTCGTATCGATTCGACGAACCATTATGAAGATAATGGTGGGTGCCCAACTTAGCCCCGGTCTCCCCTATATATAGCAAGTCGACTTTTCAACACACTAATGTGGTTTCGTAACTCGCGCGAACTGCCGTCCGCTGTGATGATTTTTTTTAGAAAATTGCATAAAACGGTGGCATAATCTCAACACTTTGAAGTCATTCCAACTTTTCACTAACTTATCAACAAAGATCAAGAAAGGCTCCTCAATGTGATTTTTAAATTTCAATCAAAACTTAACATGAAAATCTTAGACTTTATCGGTCTAATATACGCATTTCGATAAATTACACAAAAAATCTCAAAATAAATTAAGAATGTTTTTGGGGAAAGAAATTTTTTACTGAGAACATAGAACTGTGATATCACATTGAGTATAAATATAATAAATGAAAAAGCAGATGGAAATTGACACTCGAGAAAAAACATATGTTTGTATATATTTTCCCATAGATACAGTATCTTTAAGCAATTATGTTCAAATGGATTAAATTTCAATACCTGCATACAACACCTTTTATGCGCAGGTACAATTTGATTGAAAAATACAAAGAGAAGAAGTTGTACTATATATTTTCTTTTTGCGAAATAAACATACGATGTTCAAATTATAATCGGAATGAAGTCAAAGTGAATTCCAAATTTTCTCACGTGTTCCAATAAATATATGAATACCACTTGTTACTTATGAACTTATACCATTATAGTCGAACGATTATCGCATCATTCTTTTCATTTAAATTTTGGAAAAATTCGTAATATAGTCAGTACTAATGTTTTGTGTGTTTATTTACTACATTAATTTGTTCACAATATTTTCCGGGCTTACACCTCCCTCCCCTTGCCCAATGTATGATTGATAGATAACTTTGGCGTAAATAAAAAAGTTTATTTGAGTTTAAAACATCATAAGTATATTATGTAGATAAAATTGCGTAAAAGACATCATTTTGTATCATCATCATCATAACATCATGACGACATATCATAAACATAATGTCAAAAATGCCCTATTCTGTATCAGAATTTGATGCACAAAGTATGTGACATATTCTCACATTTTTTTGAATACATTAATTTAGGACGCTTCATCTTCCACATCATATACCAATACTTTGTACATTTCTACCAAATAAGTAGGAGTATAAACAACCTACAAACAAGAAGGAATGTTAATGATTTGAAAAAAAAAAATGCTATGCTTCATAGTACGCATCGGCGTTACTGGAATAGATTATGTTCTAATCATTAGTTTATGTGGAGAAAGATATCTCAAAAAACATATTGGAATTTTTTAATTCAAGTCTCAATTAATACGCTGCATTCCATTAATTTTTTTCTCTCTTTTCATTTCATGCCGTTGTTCACAAAGCACCTCAGATTTACCACAAATGAAACAATGTAACGAAGCCCGTTGAAATGCTTTGAGCATTTACTTGAACTTGAAAAAGTCAAAAGAGAACCGAAAGAATAGCGATATAGGATCAGGTAACATATTAGAAAATGTAGTTTTTTTCAAAGTGCCTGAAATGGTTTTGTCGTAAATTACAGATTGTTGGTCGGAACTGTTCTTATTGTTTAGAATGTAGCACATAAATATTTGTGTGGCGGTAGATTTGAAGAAAAATCTTGTTGAACTTGAAATTTAACAATGGAATGTCATCTTGGTGTTGGTGTTTTATTGAGTGCGTCGTTTTTGTAATTGAAAAAAAAAAATATACAGAATAACCTGTCAATAACGGAACCTGAAAATACTGCGAATTGCAGATAAAATTCTGCCCATGCTTTCGCCCATACACGCTTATCACCCAAAAGGAATGTGAATTTTGTGATTGGTTCAGGTTATATAAAAAATTGATCAGTATTTTAGACTTGAAAAAAATTATGATTATTTTTTCCTAAATTTTCACGATTTTTCACTATTTCATAAGAAGAAATGATTACTAGAGTGGGACGTTTTTCAATGTTTTTACAAATCAATACTGTCCCACTCCACATATGGTATACAGTGTAAAAATGGCTTTTGCGCCAGAGCTCTGAATTTTTTTTTGAAAAATTCGAATTTCTTCAACGCAATTTGAAAATTCACAAAATGTTGTCTTCGGGGGTTTTTTGGCACCTGAGATTTTTCAATTCGGTATAGATCGCTCTATCGTGTCTACCGCGTGAATGCAAGAAATGTGAGCCAGCACAAAATTTGCCGCCTGAATATCCAGCATTTCCAGCAGCTCAAATTTCATGCAGGAAAATCCTCCTCAAATTCATTGATCTAAATAATTTCCTAAATAAGGAATTGATGATAGAAGATTTGTAATTACAGTTGATCCTCAGAATGATATTTGTCATCAAAACTACGCAGATACGAAGTTAACTTGCAAGTACGTGATATCTTATGGAATCGAGATTTGAATGCAGACCGTATTATCCGATACAAAGGTATTGAAGTGTCGCTTGAGATAGTTTAAAGACAATAGATTTTTGTATAATACAATATTTTCGATTGTCTAAAACAATGCTTTCATTTTCAATTCATAGGCTGGTGTGATGTCATGAACTGGGATCTTCACGAAAATTTTGATCGCAACCGAAAACTATAAAGCCAGCTCAAACAAATAAAAAAAATTAACGTTTCAGGTTTGTGAAAATAACTTGTTAGTTTGAATGTTATGTGATTGTAATTTTCTTATCATATTTTATAGAATTGGTCTATCCAAAGTCAAGCTCTTTGGAGCGGGAGCTTAGGCTCGTGATCTGCAACTGCTAATTTGTAAGAATCATATTTCATTATTGAATTAGTTTGAAATAGTTTATTCATACATGAGAAATACCATTTTTTTATTTGCAGATATGGGAAACACCCTATGTAGATGTAGATGTAGGTAGAAAATTATGATTTTAATATTTAAAAACTTCTCTAATATGGTGGAATTAAATACATTGAACTATTGGCAATATTTGAATGAAAAAATAATATAGCAGGTGGGAGACAACAAATGTGAAGTCTTTTTGTAGAATAATATCACATAGATATGACGCAGCTGTTACGAAATAAGAAATCTTAGCGTATTGATAGTATGAACAGATGTGATGAACGGAAGTTCCATAATTGCATTGAGCACAAGCCACTTTTTTATTTTCATTTCCGTTCTATTGTATGGTATTTGAAGCAAAGCAAAATGGCAAGCGCCTTGGCTTAATAGCAATTGTCAAAATTCAGGATTTTCGTTTAAAGGAAAAGAATATTTTGTTTCTGGATAAATAATTAAACTTGTGAATGGTAAAGAAAAATCAGAGTCCATTTTGCTTTGTGTTTTTATCTTTTTAATTGAAATTGGAATTCTTAAAATTTTGGAATTGAATAAACAAAAAAAGATGTATAATATACTATAAATGAATTTTCAATATAGGATATTAACGAGTTAAAAATTACGTGAAATAGGCATTTTTGAAAAAGGAACAATTTTCTTGGTTCCTTTCAATTTCAGCAGTTTGGTCGTTTTACTTGTAAGCGTTCAAAGTATCTAATACAATATCTATAGCCATAATTGAATTTATCTATATTTCATCGTTTAAAGACGAAACGTGAACCAAACGTACCATCTTTTTGATATTTTATTTCACTAGACAAATATCTTCTTTTTGGTGGAATGAATAAGAATCGATTCATTGCCATTGAGAGAAAACCATTTTACAACGGTCAAATGTTATAGACAGAAGTCACGTCCTTATTTCAATTATGCATTTTGTATCTATTTTGAATGTCTTTATTTATTTATTAGAATCACGTAGTAATGACGCCGACTTCACCATTCAGAATTCACAGTAGTATTATCAAGTAGAATTTACCCATGAAAAGGAAGCGTCTTAAGAACATTTATCAAAAATACAAGACATGGCCAGACAGAGTAAATATGTTATTTATAACGTATCCTAACAAATTGATACACTTGATGGTGCGAAAATGATGACTTCAATCATTTGCTTTCGGTGATTGTTGTTTTGTCATTTGATTTTTAAAATAATTATTATAAAAAATTGTATAACAATCATTTTGAGTACATGAAAATATGATGTGTACTGGTGGCATTTCCGAATTAATTTTTTTCCATCGATGTTTGTGTGGTTTTAAACGAGAAAACAGTTTTATAACAAATTTGCCAACTGTTTACCTGTTTAATCTTCGAATGTATTTTTCATAATCTGAATAAACTCATGAGCGAAAAAAGTGATGAAAGAGATTCTATAAACAGAAGCCATACTTCAGAACTGAAGTGAGCATGGGAATGTGGGAATATTTAATGTTCCATACATCCTGTTCATTTGGCATGTGCGTCAACTTTCTGAGTGCAAGAGAATAGCGGGAAAGCACAACCGGATATTGAACAATAGGTTTTAATATATTTTTACTCTTGAATGCTATGTAAAAGATAAAAATAAAATGCAGAGATTCTAACGACATGCCTATTCGTATATTAACATCCACGCATGAAAAATGCATCAATACCAACAAGTGTATTTTTTATGAACTGAATTGTGTTGGCGTCGTTAACGTCGAATGAATTTCAAACATATGTTTGAAATTCAAAACTACAAAATGTGTGTTCAGTATTCTTTGGTTTCATTTTATGTTCCGATTTCAAAGCTATTTTTCGTTTCCTCTCTTTCCAGATTTTTTTTTTTTTTTTCAATATTGCTGTTTACATTTTAAGTAGCATAGTGATAGAAGAAAAAGAGAATATAGGAAAAAGAAAAAACGCATAGAAAGAGAGAGGGAGAGCGACACGAAATGTTTTCATGACATAGATGTTCGAAAACCTTTTTTATAGTCCCCACTCTACATGAATGCATTCGTTCACAGCATTTTTCTCATTTATGTGTAGTTTTAGGCTTCACACATATTCAGAAAGTACTTTATGCCTTTTGTACATATCTCAACTTATGTATGTGTACGTCGTGTTGTCTTCAAATATTTTTATTCAGCTTTATGTATCATCCTATAGGCTGATATATGGTTTCATTTCATTATTACGTACATTTCAATGCGTATAAATGAAGTCAACATTTGAAATGTGTGCAACTCTCACTACAACTACAGACTGTGGATTCGTATCAAGTTACTGGAAGAACCGTACAGTCATTTAGTAATGAAGTTTTGAATATGAAACATTCTTCATGTTAGTGCTCTTGATTTTTTCACTCAAAATAAGCTGAAATTGTAAAAAAATTACTTTAAAACGAACCAAAAAATTATTTTGTGGCAGACAATTTCAATTTAATTCAGAGGTCAAGATTTTATAATTTCTTTCCAGTTGTAAATGATTTTATAAAGTCCAATAATAAATGAGTGTTATATTTCGATTTTTAACTTATACCATAAAAAAATGTGTGCATCAGTGCTATAAATAACGTTCGAATTCGTTATAAATATATTGAAAATGATCATTTGACATAGTGTGATTGCAATAAATAGGTCATTTTGTGCACGCACTAGAAATAAACTGATCACCAATCATTGGCCAAATCTTCAGTGTATAAATTCAATATAAAAAATAGTAAGTGTCAATATCATACTTTTGTTATCCAGCTTGTCGAAAAATGTGTGGCAAACAGTTTATATTAAAGTGGAAAATTGCATGTGTCATATGAGTTCCCACGGATTAAATTTATACAGTTCGATGGTCATTTGAATGGGATTTTCCCACATTTTCATGGTTGCGGTTATCGATGTCATCACGTGGTTTAGTATTAAACGATGCAAAATGTGGTTTAATGTAATGAAATATACACCAGTCAAAGTATGGATGCATCGTTTATGAGAAAAAAGAAAACCTGCATAACAAGATATTAAAAAGATCGAGTTCATTGAAAAATGCGTGCAAAAAATCTATGCCTTCTTTAATTATTTCTTCAGTGCATTTACATGCAGTTGCCAAGTGGAATAAATGAGCAACTCGTATGACAAGAACGCGGAAAAAACTATAGAGTCAATTTTTGTTTAAAAATATTTTTGGGGTACAATATTTGAACGAAAGCCGAGCAGGTTTAAGTGCTATTAGTGCAGAAATAAATCAATATACATGAGCAATTTTTTCTCGTGTATAGTGTGCGTTTTATAGACCACCAACCAAATACCCCAACAAAACGATTGTCACATATAATAAAATTTCATCTGTTGCCACATTAGAATCATCCTTTAATTTACATTTCACGGCTACATATAGAATAAAGTATTTGAAAATCTTCACTAACTAGTTATATTTTCATTTAAATAAAAGATGTTAAAGCACGTACAAATATCACCACATCGAAGCCGATCTGATTCAGTATCGTTGCGTTCGGTAACATCATGCACGTCATCATTATGCGGCAGCCCGGAGCTATTGGAGCCATCAATCGATTTACTGCGTTCATCTCGTGCATCAAGCTACTGTAGCCTTGATGAAAATAATCCGCAGGTAATTTTAAATTATATATTTTATAGTTAAACACAAAATTGTTATAATATTATTTCTAACAAAAATGCCTCAAATAAATAAAATTCTTGCATATTTCATAATGGATTTCCCATCAATTCGACACATTACAAAATTGACATTTGAATTTATTTGAATTGCAAAACTTGCACGTTATTGCTACTATCGGCAATAAAATTACATTTGAAACAAATATATTGATTACTAATGCATTGTAAAATTGTACTCCAAAAGAGCAATGAAAGTAAAATGTTATCCCTTTACGTTATTTGAAACAAGTTGGAATATATTGATGTAATTTATAATTTAATTTTATTCTTTCGCTCGAATTGTTATAGCATTTCAAATTGTTGTCTCTCTTGGCAACTCTTGGTCACATGGCATTCTCTTCCTTTTATGCGCTTTGATGTTCCAAGCTTGAATTGTATGTCGAACCGGATGAGCTCATAATGTATTCATTTCATCCTTTCTGTGTATCTTTTAATGGCGATGTCAATTCATTAGTTTGTTGGGAGGAAATCATAATCCAATCAGCTCAACGAATTATTTCCGGTGTTAAGTATTTTTTTTGTTTTAAAAACAACATCCGTTAGTTCTTTAAATTCCAATAATAATTTTGGACCTACTTTTTTATTTTAACTAACATCTGTCTTTTTCCATTTTCCACAAATCTTATACATATGGTTTAAGCAGCCATTTAGCGCATATGGCTGGTTGACTCTTGGTAAGACGTTGTATTTATAAAAAAAAGGAAAACTAAATGACTTGCATCATTTACAAAGTGCACAACTGAAAGGATGTTTAATGTAAAGTGTCTAGTACGTTCTTGTTTTCACTATTTATTTCACATTTTCCAAGAATATTTGATCATCTGAAACAACAGATGAACTAATATTTTACGTTCTTATAGTCCAATAGATGCTTATAAATGTATATTATATCACAAATTATATGTCACAGTCTTTGATCACATGATTTTGGCTCATGAATCACTTCATTCTACACAGTTTTTAGGCCGCAATTCTCTTTATGCAAATAATAATATCAGATTGATATGATATGAATACAAAAGAAACAATTTGAACACGTTGACAGTGGAAAATTGAACAAAATAGAGGAAAAATAGAGACTGAATATTTGTTCAAATATACCCTTAGAAAGATTATGTTGTTGTTGTAAAAAGGGATATAGCAGTATTATTTGAAGCAAAATCAGAGCTATTTTTTCGCCGCAATGATTCATATACATGTTTAGCTGTTTTCAGTGTTTTTACGTCTACCCACTAAACAATTGTTGGGGCAAATTCATCCATTATCGGGCCCGGGTATATATTGATGGTCGAATGCGGGGTTGCAGTTGTTTGTTGTTTCAGTCGAATTTAACGTCACAATGGAATGAAAAAAAGAGGCAAAAAGAGTTATACATGAAATTTCCTATGAATTGAAATCAATATATTAATTTAAATAAAGCTTTAAAATCGACCCTTTAGAGATTTACCCAATCATTCTATCATTAACTGTGCGCTACACTCGTACAAATCAAAGCCTCAATATACAAGCTTTGGTAATAACTATTTTATAGCTAATATAGCCACAAATAGTTTTACGTGAATAGTTAGTGAGGGAAGTTTTACGTATAAATTGTGAAGTTGACTTCGTCATGAGCTAGTTTTACCAGTATTTTTGAAAAAGTAAAAAATACAACAACAAAAACATTGCTAGACCAATGTTGGATGTCCAGTCAAAGTAGAATTGAACGATTTAATGCGTATTTGCTATAGCATATATGCATAATCGTATATTCTCTTGCGCCCCTGAAAATTATATGTGCACGGAAAAAACCAATTAAAAGACATATTCTTATTCAATGGATGTGACGCGGTTGTAAATCATATAAAAACATGCACACATTCATTTTCGTTTTTTAATTGGTTACACAGAAACAAGTATTCGAGTACGCTTACTCGCACTTGCGGTGTTAGTAGAGGCTTTACCCCTCAAAATGAGTTACGCACTCTATTTAACTCTATTTTTGGTGTTAGTTTCATCGAAGTAAACGCATCACAGTGAAAAAAGAGATACATGTTTGTAATACATATGTACGTTGCCGCATGCGTTCAACGAGTTATGTTTCGTTGCGTGCATATGAGTCTGTGTATACGCTAACGAATATGATAGCTAAGTGTATCGTCACATACGTTCGATGAAACTAACATCAAAAATAGAGTAAAATAGAGTGCGTAACTCATTTTGTGGGGTAAAGTCTCTACTAACACCGCAAGTGCGAGTAAGCGTACTCGAATACTTGTTTCTGTGTAACTACACACACGGGAATAATGTATAGATTATTAGTATAAATGATTTTTT